GTTTTTGCAGGTCGGTATCTGTTTGAGACTAGACTATCGGGAGGAAAAATCCAACAGCTTATTTTGTGTAACTTGTGAAAAAAATTCAAACATAAAGCAGGAAGGGCAGTACGGGCCGTAAAGGCCCTCTGAGGATCATATCAACAAAAAACTATAAACAGCGTCCCCCTCCCCCCTTGGAGGTCTGTAAACACCGGCTCAATACAGTCAGGGGCAAAATAGGCTTCAGCTTCCGAAATGTAATGTGGTCTTATTGTCTCCGATGTCACTACTTGGACCGTCCAATTTTGGTTCGACCTTCTATAGCCCCCTCTATTCTATTCACCTGAGCACTGTGCATTGTTTTGTGAATTCCTTGACTTTTAATGCATTCAACCACCACAGGCACCTTGGGTCTTTTAGAAACAAGCTCAATAAACAGCAATGCGCACCAGACTAGCCGGTGCGATCATGCGCTTTGTGCAATTCCGTTTACCGAACGATTGTCTATTAATGATTTTCACTGCTATGTACTGTGCAAAAACAGTTGAAACGTTGAAAAATAGTTAAAAATTTCCTGCAGAGGCGCATGAAAGCTGAATCTGAAACCCTGAAAGGTGAATAAAAGGATATTCACCCTTCCGTGATTCTCGAGAATTTAACCGCCAAAATTTCCTCTGGCCCGTGGATGATACCCGAGAGCGCGGGAACGCTGAATTTGAATTTGCAAGATCGTTTGTGTGCAGGGGGTCATTACCCCAGAATTTCAGCTTCGTAGACTTTGTGGCTCCTGAGACAGTAATTTACCTGTCAAAAATTTTCACGGGGCCGTACATGTTATCCGCGGGCAGGAGAAAGCTGAATTTAAATTTTCTGAGTAGCACATGAGCGGGGGACATGCCCACAAAGTTTCAGCCTCCTAACACCCGTAGACCCCGTGATAATACTTTTACCCGTCCAAACTTTTACGGAGCCATACGTGTTACCCGCGGGTACGGGGAGGCTGAATTTAAATTTGCGGAGTCGCACGTGGATGGGGAACGTTCCCTTAAATTTTCAGCTCCCTAGCTTTTGTGGTTCCAGAGTTAAAAGTTGCAGACAAGTTGCTGCGGACACACACACACACACACACACACATACACACAGACAACTCCGTAAAAATATGCGTTTTGTATTGCTGTTACACAGGATAAAACGTATAAAAATTACCTCTGCGCTGCTCGTTCAGTAACCGAAAAATCAGCAATTTTCAAATCCCGAACACAGTGCAAACATGATGTTTCGGATTTTTCAGCACCGCTAAATTTTTTAAGTATATCCTGTTTTTTGGCTGTCCACGGAATAAAACCTGGTAATTCCTGAAATAAAAAATTCTACAGTAAATTTTTGTTTCTCAAAATCAGCATTACAAAGACAGGAAAATCTTTATTTAAATAAGTAAAGATTTAAAAAAATTGTTCTTCCCAAAGACATAACCCCTAGTCGAAATTATGCGGAACAAGTAGGCCCAAAACAGTGAAGAATGGAGAAGTTGCCAGGAGCATCAATGACGAAAAAGAAAAACAGGATGATTGGTCAAAAAATCGAAGCTTTTATAAAAGCCCGATTATACGACGGCAAAAAATCCTATCAATTGTAATAGCAGGGAGCTTTAAAAAAAGTAACTCAAGTAAAAAACAGAAATTAATAGTTATGGCATAAATGATAACTGAAACTAGCCATTTAAAAAAACTAAAGTAATAAAGTACAATTTAAAAATAACACTATCAAGACAAGCTATTAATTTATAGTCAGAATTCTCATCCTTGCAGCCGGCAATCTCTTCATTCCACTTAAACATCTTTTGCAACCGAAAAAAAAAGGTGAATTTCTGCTCATTTGGTAGAAATTTAAACTGATTGTATGAAGGGACACTGTCAAAATCTTTCTCTCTACTGCCCTCTTCATCACAGCCATAATTCGCTCTTCTGCTTTCGTCAGTGACCACGTTTTACAACGAGATCCGTGAAAATGTATACTTTTTGCAAGAATTCCAACAATTTATAGTACCTTTTCAGTAGTCGCAATAGTCTCGCCTGTCTCCTTGCTCGCTAATGTATTCGTTAATTTTGGCTCTTCTCGCTTTTTGGTGAGAAACGAAGGTACGTCATCGAAAATAACAGCACCAGCCTTCTTTCGTTCTTCCGCTGTGGCACCTACAACATGACAATTGCTAATTTAAGCAAGTCCTATAACAAATATGATAAAAATGATAAAATCTTTCTTGCCAAAATCTATTAGACGACAAAAAATGCACAAATTTCCAGTGCTTCGATCCAGAGATGCATGCTGCAGGTGAGTAACCACCGGCTAATTAAGTGCGCTCCTTTTTCGGAAACAGTTCGAGTTGCCACTTTCTCATGGATACTATCCACTGAGACCGCGGTTTGCATAGGTTGCCAGCAAGGCGAACCATACGTACGGCTGATCGAATTTTACTTTCTCGCATGGTCGTAATGATATCCTGAACGCCGCTGTTCTGACGAAGAGTCTGATTGTTTATGTGGTTGGGGAGAGACATTTCAGGCATCATTCGCTCTACTGTTCACTCGGCTACTACTAGCGCTACATCACTCTCCATTGTAGCTGTGTTCCGTAGTTGTACGTCACTGCCTTCAAAACAATACCAATAAAAAGGTGTGCAATGCCAATCTAAGTCGATACTTTGAAGGATACCGACGATGCTGTGAGATTTGCGCCAATCGGTAACTCATTTATATGCAATACCTGACTTGGAATTGGGAAGAATATTTACTTCCTCGTACATGTTTCTGTCAACTTCTTAAATAATTGGCCAGCGAATCGACTGCCGGTACGAAGATGCGTTCTTGCACAATTTTCGAGGTTTTTTTCGCTAACGGAAGTATTTATTCAGGAAGTATGGTTCTAGCTAAAAGAACTGAGACTGGCCACCACGACCGTGAAAACAACCCCTTAAAGTTTCAGCTTTCTAGCTTTTGATCTCCGAGTTAGCAGCTTACTCGCCAGATGCTTTCACGGGCCCATACTTATAACCATACATGCATGAAGATTAAGTTCCCAAAGTTTCGGCCTTGCAGCTTTTGTAGGTCTCGAGATGAAAAATCGGTACAGGCAAAAAATACAGACAAACCCTTGACAATATGCTTTTCTGCATTGCATAGATTCAAAAAAAAACCCATAAAAATCAAGACCCCCTACCTGCATTTTTGCTCCCGTATCATTTTTGTTTTCGATTCCAGGCATAAGAATAAATACATTTCCGAACCGCAACAAAAAATTAGACGAAACAAAACATGGGCAAAAGTCAGTGAAATTACAATAAACAATTGATATCAGAATTAATTGGCACTTACCCAATGGATCGGCGAATTCCGGAATTACCGACGGTTGTTCATGTTCATTTCTTGAAATTTTCGCAACTTTCCGGCCTTTGTATGTTGTCAGTGGATCGACAAGTACTTCGGCACTGCTGCAAGCCCAAGTTTCGGTTTCCGGTCGCGTAGAACGCACCCATTTCCATGTGACCAACGAATCGCTAAACAAACCATCCTTCATCCTAAAAAACAACGATTATGCCTGTGTACGATTATTTGCTAGCAATAACCTTTCTCTGTGCATTTTGTTTTCTTTGGACCGACTAATTGTTTTGAGAAGGGATAAAAAATTGCGGCCTTCTAATGGCAGCAATTTATTATCCCTAATTTCTTCTCCCACAACCGCCTGGATTAAGAGATAAAACCCGAAAATGCAGATACACTTAGTTAATGGATAGATCTGAATTCAAATATATATATATATATGGATCGATCTAAATTTAAACTGC